CCCAGTCACAGGAGGACATTGGCCGCCCTTCCTTCTGCCACTGCCTGCATCCTGAATTCTGCTGGATTAATTTAACTTGAGCCCGAAGAGGCAGCAGAGCTGAGGGCAGGTGGCTGTAGGCGCCAGTAGTCACAGTAAGCACTGTGCTGATGCCCCATCTGTAGTTAACAAGCTTTTCCACAGTTCAGTCCGTTTTCAGAACAGCAGAGACCAGCCCTGAGGCTCTGCTTCACTGGGAGGAGGAAAGGTGTGAAACCTCCTCCCCAACTTTCCTTTCAGCCCATGCAGGGATCACATATGTCTTTAGGGGGCAGTAGCTAATGTAAAAGGGAAAACCCCATTGGAGTCAACTGTACTAATGATCAGTAAGGACTGTGAGGCCTGAATGTACGGCTTGGCTAAATTGTAAACCTTGCCTTAGTTTGGATGTTCTAAGTCCCCCAAAGGCCAGCAGTAAAGGCCTAGAGACTGACTGTGAGATGGACAGGCTCCCAAGAGAGTCCGCATTTCTGCCAGTGGTAGGTGGGGCCTGATGGGAGGTCCTTTGATACTCAGAGCAGGCCACGGAAGGGATGGCGAGACGTTGGTTAACATTCTGGCTCGATGTTAGCTGCTTTATCTCTGACTCCTGCTCCCATCAGGATAGGAAGCCTTGTTGGAGGCCCACAGAAAAGGAAACCACCCCCAATCATGGACTATGAACCTTCCAGAACCACAAGCCCCAAGCTGACTTTGTAAGCTAATTACCTTAGTTATTTTATTATAGCGACAGATGGCTGACCAATACTAGATTTAAAAGGCATCGAGAAGAAAGCAAACACATTTGTGTTATCTTCTTGGTTGTTGGTGGGAAATGGAGACCATTTACGCAGTATTCGCGATGCGTGCCCTGCATGCCAGCCGTAGCACTGTCTTGGTTATGCCTGTGTATGAGGGGATATATTACAGGTAAGCCAGTGCTTCCATTGCTTTTGGAATAGAAGAAGTTGCAGAATAGTATTATAGTCCCAGTTATGTATGAGCCCCGGGCCAACCCATAACCTCTCCTTCCTAGTGTTCAAGACATGGTATTCAGGGTCATTGTGGTGGTTTGAAAGAAAATGGCCTTCAAAGGGAGTGGCACTATTGGGAGGTGTGGCTTTGTTGGAGTGGGTGTGGCCTTGTTGGAAAAAGTATGTCACTGTGGAGGTGGGCTTTGAGGTCTCATATATGCTCAAGCTACCATTTGGTGTCTCAGACCACTTCCTGTTGCTTGCAAGTCGAGATGCAGGACTCTCAGCTCTGTCTCCAGTACCATGTCTGCCGGCACACCACCGTGTCATGCCATGCTGACTATGGACTGAACCTCTGAAAATGTAAGTCACTCCAATTTAGTGATTTTCCTTGCCGGGGTCATGGTGTCTACTTCACAGCAGTAGAAACCCTAACTAAGGCAGTGATTATGAGAGACACACTGCAAGTACCCTCATTTACATCTTGAAGCAAAGGCTTTGCTCTTCCTCTACTTTTAGCCTCCTCTTTTATTCCATTTGAAACACTGGAAGCTGCTGCCCAAGTCTCCGTTCTGACGGAGGCACAGTGACATGGAAAGACCCCAAATTAATCTTCCTCCTCAGGGCTTTGGGCTCACGCCTTTGAGGAACGAAGTCTCTCTCCGTTGAAAATGTGGTCCTGGGAAGATCACAGCTTTGGACAATCGTCCGGATGCCTACGCCTATGGAGGAGTTAGGAGGAGAGTTGGTCTAGTCTCCACCGGGACGAGCTGGGCTACTGTGGGAGCAACACAGTTGTGCAGAAATAAAGCAATGGGGATGGGTGGGTCCCGAGAGTGCAGCTCTGCTCTCCAGAGACGATGTTAGACCATTCCACAGCCTCGCCTCTGTAAGATGGGCATAACCACAGGAGGCGTGGCGAGGATGGACAGATAAAGCCCAGGCATTGCTTAGGAGAGGATGGACAGAGATAAAGCCCAGGTGTTGCTTAGGAAAGGCGATCCTTGTTGCTCTTGTGTAGGTTCTGCCCCCTTTACGAGACTTCAGCTGCTCGTTTTTGCTGTGACCTAAGGAAGCCTTCCAATGCGGGCAGAAAGAATATGGAGACAGTATTTGCAGAACGAAAAGCAATAAGATGCTGCCAGTTTCCCCTCTTCAGAACTTGCCACTTGCTCAGACGCCCTGATTGCACCTTTTCTGGGCACTTCCATTCCCTCATATGCCCCCTGGAGCCAGAAGCCTGGGCAAGCCCATCTGGACTCTGGGAGACAGGATTTGGCTCTCAAACAGGCTTCTGGTGAGGTGCAATCATGATTTCTCTCTCTCCCTGTATTTTCATTTAATGGTCATTCAGGTGGAACCTGTCTTACATTATTATTTTCTCATTTGTCCTCATGTGTCTTCTTGTGGGACAGAAAAATTGAAAAGGTAGGATTCTTTCCTTTCAACACATCCTTGCTCTCCCTCCTCCCTCCTCAACCTTCACAGTTCATTTTTCTGCAGAGTGATTTACGTATGGAAACAGTTCGCAGTGGATATGGCCAGGACGTTCAGTGATATGCGAGGCTACCGTGTGTGTGTGTGGCTGTTTGTGTGACAGTGTGTGTGTAGTCGTACTTGCCTGTGCATGAGAGCTGAGGCCAGAGGCTGACTCTTTGGATGGCATCCTCTATTACTCCCCACCGTACTTTTATAAAATGGGCTCTTTCCCTGACTGATCCAGTTGACCAGGCTGTCCCTGGTATCTGCCTGTCTCTGCCCTGCTCTCCGGCATTGAGGTTACAGGCACGTGCCCCCATGCCTGGTTTTTATACGGATGTTAAGGATCTGAACTTAGTCTTCATGCTTGTGCAGCCATCTCCCTGAAGAATTGTGTGTGTGTGTGTGTGTGTGTGTGTGTGCGCACGTGTGTGTGTGTGTATGAGGTGTGTGTGCATGTGCAGGTGCCTGCAGAGCACAGGGGAAGGCATCAAATCTCCTGGAGCTGGAGTTACAGGCAGCTGTAAGCCCCTTGATATGAATGCTGGGAATCGAATCCTCTGGAAGGGATACAAGCGCCTTTGCCTGAGCTGTCATTGCAGCCCCCAGGATGAGGTCCTTCTGGATGCGCAGAAGTAGAATTAAGAGATGATGTGATATGCTTACAAACTCCACACGGCAGTTTACCCCACAGTGTGTCTGTAGAGTTGGCAGAGTAAGAAACCTGGGAGGAAACAGGATAATTCTCAGTATAACTACTTGGATATGCCCTTGAGGATTTGTTCTCTCTCTCTCTCTCTCTCTCTCTCTCTCTCTCTCTCTCTCACACACACACACACACACACACACACACATACACTGTGTGTCTTTCTTCCTCCTCCTCATCTCTCTCTCTCTGTCTCCATCTTCATTTCTCCCTTTCTCCTCTTTCTCTCCCCCAGTTCCCTCTTTTTCTTTCTACATCCGTGTCTGTTCCTCCTGGCTAATCCTGCGGAAGAACTTGGTGGATGAAGAGAGGTACCCAGAACGTTATCGAACCCAGAATGCACTTCCAGCTTGGCCAGCTCCTCTCTGAGTAGCCTTCTTGCCTCTGGCTCAGCTTCCTTGTGCATAAATAAGATTGGGGCTCCACCCCTGAGACTAAAGCTCTCTAAATTACTTGGTGGAGTCTATCTCTGCCAAGCTAGTCCCTGACAGGCCTCAGAAGCCAGTTACTTGGATAATTCCCAAAGCAGATAGATGGCTTGCAGGAAAACTGGGAATCCATTGTACCCCAGAGCAGTCCAGCAGCCGCAATAGACATCGGTGCTTCTGGCTGCTTCCTGAGGAGCCACCAGCCAGCCCAGAGCAGAGGCTGGCCGGAGAAGCGGATGGATGTGTTGGACAGGCTAGCACGACTCTAAACACAGCATGCGGGAAATACCCATGTCCTGGGGAAGAGGTCACTTAGTGGTGCAGTTTCAAAGTTACTCAAACTTGGCTCTGAATGCTGCCCCTGCCACCAACCCTGACCTTGGGCAAGTTCCCTTGCAGCATCTCTAGTTCCTCCATCTACAACTGCAGTAAGGAGCAAGGTCCCCGGTCCACCAGCACCACAGGTTTTTGGAAATCCTAGCAAATGTCCGTAGCAGTTATGATCTTGTGTCCTTCCCAGCCAGGACTCTCGGGGGATCCTGCCTGGGTATCTCCCCATGCCCGGGAAGCCCAGGCTCCAGGCCACTGTTCCTTCCATGCCAAGCAGCTTGGTTCTGAGATGCGCCAATTGGGATGTGATTAAATTTCTGATTGAGGAGCTTCAGCATCGTGGTCAGAACAGGGGGAGGCAGTGTTTATCACCAGCTGCTCAGAGCCAACCGGCCCTTTCCAAGGTCTCCCCAGCTCTTTCCTCTGGCCCCCAGTCCTTGGGCCTCGGGCAGAAGAGGGGAACGAAGTGCTCCCCATCTCCCCAATCCAGAGAGAAGGTGCTACAAAGCAGGAAGAGCCCGATTGCCTCTTAAAGTATACTGCAAAAATCTGCCCTGCCCACCTAGGGGGCTATAGCCCCGCATCCTGGAAGCCGAAGCCTTGCTCACTCAGGCCGGTCTGCTTTCTTGGAGAAGCTGGACTGGCAATTCAGGGCAGTCTCTTTCCCCATCCTTGGTTCAGACAGACCACAAATGCCCTGCTGGGAAGGGCGATTAAGTAGCACTAAGTGTATTTTTCCAGTGTGCACCTGGTAGAAAGAAAATAAAACAAAATCAAGGAGGCCAAGGTTTAAATCCTCTCTCTCTCTCTCTCTCTCTCTCTCTCTCTCTCTCTCTCTCTCTC